TAATCCAATAAATGCCATCATATTTGGGTTTCGTTTTTTTACACCTTGACAACTTGCCACTGTTCCCCATATCCCTATATGTTTTTTCTAGAATGATCAAAGTGTAATTTCAGGTCTAGTTTTGTTAGGTCTTTATAGAAGCTTGCCTGGTTTTTAATTCTTTCCTTCTTTATTGCTAGACAAAAGGAGAGGGAGTATAGCAGTAGGATACAGAATGGTTTGTCGTAAAAATGAAAGATCAAAACTGAACAAGAATGTGAATCCCCATATCTTGTCTTCAGTGCTGTCAGGTGGCATAGATGAGCATTTTTAAAAGAGCCAAAATGATGGATCTTGCATTTTAGGAGCTAGAAAGAAATTTGAGAATTTCCAACCTTTAAGCATCAGAGAATCTGTAGCATTTTGAAAGAGGAGAACATTCTACAGCATCCCTTGGTAGAATTCACACTAATGCTTTAACAACTTTCAGCATCAAGAAATTCTTCTGAATGAGTTACAGCCTAAATTCTTCATGCTGCTTAAGCCTGTTTCTTCTTGTTCTGTCCTCTGTAGAGGAAATGAACAGCTGGCCACAGATCCCTATGCAAAAGCCATTCACATAACTGAAAACTGTTATTAAATTGCCCCATTCAGCCACTCTTTCTCTCTCCCCTTTCCTTTCTTGTCATGGCTAAATAATCTCAATTACCTTAACCTGTTCTCAGGTCTTTCAAACCTCTTAATTATCATTGTGCCTTTCTGTCAGCCCTCCTCTACGTCCTGGGTGAGTCGTAGCCACCAGAATTAAACACTATTTTCTAGGAAGGATTTAAACAGTTGTGAGGGTTATGAGATAACTTCTCACACTATACTTCCTACATCTTTCATTGTACACCACAGACATGGTTTTTCTTCCCTTCTTTTAAAATTTGTATTATTTTTGCAGTGCTGGGGAAGGAACCCAGGGCCATATGTATGCTAGGCAAGTGCTCTACCACTTAGCTACATCCCCAGTTCCCCTCTTTTATTTTTTATACCTGTAGTTGTTGACTGATAGTCATATTTTTCCTATCTTTTGAAATAAATAGACACTTTGTTATTGCACTTTGTGTTAAGTATGATTTCTTACCCTGCAGCATGTCTTTCAATGCATCATTAAACAATCTATCCTTTAAACCTAAGTCAGAACAAATATATAAGTTCTGATTAAGCACCAATGAACTCGTATTTTAAATAGGCATGAATTAGTAATGCTTTTCAATTTGCTGTCCTTCTGTAATGGTTTCTGTCCTGGCTAGAAAGGGTTATTTTGCTAACATTTTTTCTAGACCACTGGAACAGGAGATTGTTGTAGGACATATTGTAGCTGAGCACTTGCAATTCTTTTGACATAGTCTCTCATTGTGTCTTTGTCTACACAATAGAAATATGTGCAACAGAGACTAGTTGATAATATTACTGGAAGAGTCATAGTTCAGGAACCAGGACAGAATCCTGGGTTTGTGCTGACCTGATGTACCATATATGGTATGGTTCATGTTTGCCTAGGCCTGTATGATACTTTCACCAATGACTTTTTGATATGAAGACAGCACATGTTTTTAAATGTAAAAATAACCCCAAATTGGGGAGAATTACTAATTTATTTGCTAGAAAAGTCAGAATTGTTAAAGATACTGAAATACCATGTGAAATAGCCAAGAACGGCATTTCCCATAATGACCAGCAGGTCATTAATATCTTCTGGTGCTTATAGGTTATAAAAAAGGATAGAGCCCTTGGCATCATTCAATAATAACTGGGGAAATGTGTTTCTTCACTGACAGTCTTCTCATCTTTTAATATGTTAACATGCATTAAGAATTTTAAAAGGCAAATATAATGTGCAATGTTTCCTTAATTAGTTTGACCTTTTCATGCAACATTTTGCTAGGTAATTCATCTGTTGGATTCACTGGGAAACACTGACCAAGAGATTTTAGTTGAGGAAAAACCCAATGTGAGCCTTTAATCCAGAACAAATAAAAAGTCCATTATTCTGTACAAAGAACCAGGGGTACCATACTTGGAGAGCAGTTTTGTAAAGAACAATGGAAAACTGAGCAATGTTATATGAGGAAGAAATAAAAGGAATAAAGATGAAGGGGCAGGGGCAGGCTTGCTATTGCTGGTAAAAATGTTTAAGGGACTGTGTGAAGGCTGAGATCTTGTGGGTTTCTGATGAGATGGATGATAATCATGACGATAGCCATAGCAAACATGCCTCTTGCTTGAGTGCCAGACATTGTTCCAAGTTCCTTTCATTTGTTAGTTTACCTAATCTTAAGACAACCATATGAAGTAGGCACTGTTAATATTTCCATTTCTTAACAGAGGAAAGTTAAGACACAGAGTGATAAAGTTCTTTTCCCAAGGTCACACAGGCAGTGAGTGGCCAAGCTGGGATTTGAATGATAGTGGTTTGACTCCGGAGTTTCTGCTCCTATCAGCTTGGTGATTTCAGCTTGGTGTGATGAAGCACTTTTGACAGTGGTCCCTTACACAGTTGTCCAAGGTCACCCTTCAAGGACGTTTGCTCTCTCACCTGGGTGGTATTTATATAGTGGTTGTAGCAATACACAGGCCTTGGTTAAGAATTTGAACTCAGTGAATGCTGTAGGCCTTACAGCCATGTGGTGCCATTCCAAAAGAATGGATTAATTGATTTGGATGGTCCCTTTCATCTTTACATCCTATAATTCCTTTAAACAAATTTCCACAAAGTACCTCTGTGATGACTCTCTACCCAGAGCAAAGTGCTCAACAAATGCTTTTGAACAGTAGTTTGAATTCCTATAATTTTGCAGCTAGGAAATGCAAGGTTTAACAGTTCATTATATTGTTGTTAAATTTATCGTGAGGGATAACGATTGAAATACTGCTGAAGTTGTAGGTGTTATAAGCCAAATGACCTGTCAGTCCAAACCCTGCTGCCTAAGGTACACATAGATCCTTTATTAGAAAACCACATTCCATGAGAGGCGGCAAAGGTTCGCAGTTCAAATATTCATTACTCACATGAAACTAACAATCCCATGTCATAGACTGGGTTTAAATTGGAATAAGCAATGCCCCTTGATTCTTGGCAAAGGCAAATGAAAAATCATGGAGAGAGTACTTTCATTCCAGGGTTCAAGGTATCTCCCCCCAAATTTTAAGGTCAATATAGTACATAGAAAAAATTAATAGTTAAGTACAAAAGAAATCAAGGTTAGTGAGAACCAATAGAAATAGCACAATATAGAAGACCTATAATAATTACATATTTTGTTAAAGAGATTTTATTTTAAAAAATGAGGTTTATGCTGTTAGAAAAATAAGACAATAGGAAAAATATCTGCAGGGAACTACAAGTGACATTAAAATGACCAAATACTATATTATAATAGATATTATAATATCTAGCTGTTAAGAAATACATTAACCAGTGCTAGGAATATAGCTCAGTGGTAGAATACTTGCACAGTATGCTTAAGGTCCTGGGTTCCATCCTTAGCATCACAAAATAAATAAACAGTAATTAAATTTTAAAGCTTTGTGGGTTTATAGCAGCCTGGATGAAGTTGAGGACAGAAATAGATATCATTGGTCAGAAGGAATTATTAGAAATGAATGCACATACAGAAGGATTACAAAAAGGAAAACAAATTAGGGAAGGCCTGTTCAGACAAATGGAGATTGTGAAACTCTAACATTTATCTAACAGAGCAAAATAGAGAAGGAGTAGAGAAGAGGCAGTATTTGTTGAGGTCATAATTGAGAAGATTCCAAGCCGATTAAAGACTTTAAGCCCAGTGAGTCTTAAGCAGTGTGAATAAAACCGTAGAAACACAATGCAAGACAAAGAGGAGCACCAGTCAGTTTTACTACTGATGTCTCAACAGTAGCAGTAGGGAACGTGAGACAAAAGTGGAATCATTCATTATGCTAAAACAACATAAAAACAAACTCCCAAACCCTTTCTGTACCCAATAAATATAGCTATCAATAGTATGGAATAAAAAGAGAAGTATTTTCAGACAAACAAAACCTGGGAAATTCTCTAACAATAGAAATCTACTAAAGAAAATTCTAAAAGATATAGTTCAGACGGAACTGATCCCAGGTAGAAGATTTGAGATTATAGAAGCAGTAGTTTTTAAAGTCAATATATGAGTCAGTCTATCTAACAGTATAAAAAGTAATCTTGTAGAGTTAAAAACAAGATATAATTAACATGCATGACTACAATAACATAAAAATCAAATGATGGGCAAATACATCTTGAGTGTTTTAAGATGACTGTATTGTCTAGGATGAATGGTATTTGTTAAATTTAGTCTTTGAAAGAGAGAGAAATACACAGAGAAGCAATAGGGGCTCCATGGAAACAACACTAGTCCAGCAGATTTGGATCTTAATATCAGCTTTGTCACCAGTTAGTTGTATGGCCTTTGAAAAGCTACTTCTCTGAACTACATCTCAGTTTTCTTGCCTGCAAAATTTGAAGCTCTGGAACATGATGAAAATTTAAAGCCCCTCATTATGATTCTATGAGAAGTAGATACTGTAAGGAGAAAAAAGGAATCAATAGTTCCTGAGATGTTTTTCTCCCATCTTTTGAAATCTTATCAATAAATCCCTACATTTTACTTCTGCTAATTTTTTATATATCTGTTCAATAATTGGAGGTAAACATAGTCTTGCTCTCAGGTGTATATTTTGCTTTACTTTTCCTGTTTGTTGATTTTGTTAGGTTTTCTTGTCATCTAGTCTCCAGAAAGAGTAATGGCAGTTTACAAAAGCCCAAGGGATGGGTAGCTCTTGTGAATGTAAAAGGGACATTTGCAGAAATAAGCTGTGAACAGAGGACTCACTGTGCAACTATTCTTTCTTTTTTTCTTTCAGATTTATTACCTGAACTGACATATGCCTCCTTTACTTTCTTAACTTATTTTCTTGTATTCTTTTGCCCTCCTTCCATCTCCCTCCTGTCTTTGCAGGCCAATAATAAGCCAGAGATTGAAGCGGCCCTCTTCCTAGACTGGATGCGATTGGAACCCCAGTCCATGGTGTGGCTTCCTGTCTTGCACAGAGTGGCTGCTGCAGAAACTGCCAAGCATCAGGCCAAGTGTAACATCTGCAAGGAATGTCCAATCATTGGATTCAGGTATTAGGAATAACCAAAAAACCATGTTTCCCATCCCTTTATCATTTCTCAACTTTTCCTGACTCAATCTTTTATATCCTATGCCACTTGCTGTTAGTTTGTTCTTTTCCAAAGTGAGAGAGAAGGCAATAGAACTGTAACATCGATCACTTCTGTCACTCCCCTGATCGCTGAGTTATTTTGGTGGATCTGACTCATTAGGCAGATGTCCCTTTCCACCTTCATTCTTCAGCTACTCCATGTCACATTTTTGGTTGAACAGAACTGAGTACCTGTCTCTACAGAGGTATTTGTCTGCCAAGGGCATACAGATTAACTATACCTCTTTCTTCCTGGAACCAAAACATTTTTACCCTCTTTCTTTTTTCATGGCCTTTTTTTGTTTATAGCAACTCTCCAAGACTCAGTTATAAAACCAAGAGATGATTCTGTTCTGGGAGGAACCATCATTGTGGCTCAGTCTCTCACTCACTTGGCAGCACTTCTTTCCCCCTTCACTAACCAGAATTGTTTCAGGCATTCTAGAATTTACTCCTTCGTTTTTGAGTCTGATTACATTCTTTGCATAGTATCTTAATGAACTTCTAGGGGAATCAAAAGTATGCAAGTAAATGAAAGCTTTATAAAATAGCTAAAAAAGGAAAACATTTCCTACAAATTTAAAGGTGGAAGAGATAGGAGAAATATAGCAGGTTATTATTTTGATATTTTTAAAGTGTCATAAAATGATTCTTAAATCTTTGGACTTATTGGCCCTTTTGGGGAAACAGGATATTTTAAAATAAACTAATCATTCTGGATAAATGATTTATTTAAACATCTGGATCAACATCATCAAAGTTTCCATAATAATGAGTAAGCTACAAAGTTGTAAACTAGATAAATAGTCTTTTCCTGTTCAGAATCCACTTAGCTAAGTAAATATTCTTTTCTACTTATGGGTAGATTTGTTTTGTTTATTGTCTAATAATCACTTTGTACCATTTTTGTCCTTTTGTTTACGGTGCTCTTTTACCATTGGTGTTTGTCCCTTTATGCTGTTATCAAAAGGTTTTACAAAACCCTTTAGAGGCTGATTATTGTCTAGCCTAATGAGTAGGCAGTGCCTCCAAAGGGCACCTTTTTTCCTTCCTGATTTTGGGCAGGTAAGAATGATGCCATGGGGCTATGGAGGGGAAGCCACGGGTGACTGCATTACATTTCTTATCTTTCTTTTTCAGCTTCCCGAGCTAGTGGGATTTGTATACTACAGAAGAAAACTTTTTATAAAATAGAAAAACAGAATGCTTTGGAGGATCTAAAGGAGCATTTTTACTTTGCATTCTTTTGCTCTTATCAAATTAGATTATTTTAGTAATTAGCACTTTTCTTTTTTCCTTCCCTCCTTTCCTTTCCCCCTCTTGAAAAATGGTTGCAGTCTAAAAAAGGTAGCTTTTCTTTCTACTTTCCCATATATGACATAAGAAATGTTTATTTGAATTGGCTGAGGTTCTTATCTGAGAAAGCAAAAGGTAGGAGGAGTGTGAAACAAAGAACAGAGTATTCTGAGAACAGCCAGTACTTACGGATTAGAAATTCTTTTATCTAATCCAAATTTTATCTTTTCTTGGAGCTTCAGTTATCATTTCTGGGTAATGTGATAAGGGGTTTCTAGAGAGAGATAAAAGAGATCACCCAAGTAACCAAGATGAATCATGTTAGCCAATCAGAAAATATAATTAAATCAAGACTTACTAATTGGAGTTCTCGTCTAAGTTTCTTTTGTCATGAGATTGGTTTATCTTTACAATTAAAAAAAAATTGTTTCAAAAAACTTTTGTCCCCAAGTTGGATATGGGTCATTTAAAAAAACTTGGAAGTTTTTTTTCAAAAGTGGTTATTTGGTCTTTAAAATCTGGAAGTTTGCCAATACTTTCCCATTTAATCTGAAAAAAAGCTCCCAGTGGAGTTTAAATAAGGGCTGGGATTTTCTTCACTTCTTCCATATGTTTATAGAATAATCTTTCGGCCAAAATGGTTTGATACTGTAGGAGAGGGGCCCCAGAGAGATCTGGAGGTAGGAAGTTAATTACTTACCTTGTGGGACTAATGAACATTGCATTCTGTTTGTAGAATTAAGACAATGTGGTAGAAAGTCTATTAAAGAGTGTTCTTTGGACATTTTATTTGAAGAAGACATGTGTGTTTGTTTTTGTTCTTTACCAGGTATAGGAGCCTAAAACACTTTAATTATGACATCTGCCAAAGCTGCTTTTTTTCTGGTCGAGTTGCAAAAGGCCATAAAATGCACTATCCCATGGTGGAATATTGCACTCCGGTAAGTCAGATGCCTCCCTGATGTGAGTTAGTTCACCTGAGGTAAATTTCACTTTTGCATATACTGCAGATCATACTTAATGCTGTGGTTTTTAAGTTTCCCAGATGTTCCCTAACTAAAGTGGCTCCAAGTGTCAATGTTACTTATCTTTAATCTCTGATATACTAACAACAAACACTTTTTCAATCTGTTTTATGTACTGACACTTACCAAACATACTTAAATGCCAGACAGTTACCTTTTAAACTACTTTGTGTGAAATAGATACTGTAATTTTTATCCCTTTGGACAGATGAGGACTCTGAGGTGCTGAGGTTAAATAATTTGCCTAAGGTTCTGTAACTAAGAGGTAGAGACTTCTAGCATATTGTTTTAGGAAAACATTCAATGGCTAGTAGAACTTTGAACAATCCTTGGTGAAATGGCCAGGGCATAGGTTTGGTAGTAAGACAGACCTGGGTATAAATCTCATGTTCTTTAAACGTTAATGCATGCTGTTCAAAGTACAGTCTGTCTGTCACCAACATTGGCATTACCTGAGAGCTTATTAGAAATCTAGACCCTCAGGCCCCAACCCTTGACTTTATGAATCAAAACATGTGATCAATCTGTGGGGAGGGGGTCTCACATATCAGTCTGAAAAGCTGTCCTTTAGAGTATGTCCTTCTGTTATGATTAGAGTGATCCACTCAGGTATTTAATTTTCTTGCTATCGTTCCTCTTACAGTCAGTGATAGAGAATGTATCATGCTGTGAATATTTAGTGGGCAAAGACCAATATTTAGGTAGACTAAGTAGTTTTTAACATACCATAAAATGTCGGTGAATTTTAAGGTCAACTTTTTGACCTTACGTCAAAAAGATTTCTATAAGCTACCATTCATATACCTGAAATACAAATGAATATAATACACATATAATAAAGCTACCTGGTAGCTTGTATGCATCATTTATTCCTCAGAATAACTCATTGAGGTATTAGTGCCCCCATTTTACAGATGATCACAGCTTTAGAGAGGTAAGTAACTCACCCAAGTTAGTAGATGTCAGGCCTAGTTTCAAAGCTCTACTCTTCATTTTCCTTAATTACAAACCAAGTGCCACAAGAATGAAGACTGGAGTGTCACTTGTTTCCAAATTAGACTCTCCTAAAGCCAATCTCACCGTGATTTTCCTTTCAGACTACATCAGGAGAAGATGTCCGTGACTTTGCCAAGGTACTAAAAAACAAATTTCGAACCAAAAGGTATTTTGCGAAGCATCCCCGAATGGGCTACCTGCCAGTGCAGACTGTCTTAGAAGGGGACAACATGGAAACGTGAGTAATGGCAGCAGCAAAACAGACTTTCATTTGATGTGTATTTGAACTTCTCCCAGCTGAATACCCTCTTTCACTTCCAAGTGCAAACAGTCTCTTCTGTTTCTCTCTTTGGGTTTACTTTAGCTGAAAAGAGAAAAAGAAACTGATGTTCAGTTATCATTTTCACATGGTCTCTTGACAATTACCTTTCCCAAAAGTTGAACTCGATCTCATAGGAAAAAAAAATACAGCGTAGTTACTGATTGCCTTACAAGGCTTTAAAGAAATATGGGACTGTTTACAAATGAGTGATACCAGTATTTCATTTTGATTTTCCTTCCTCATGAATCAGATGTGTGTCTATTGCATTTTATGGTGTGGTCCTATGTAGTCACTTTTTGTCCCACTTGAGAGAAAATATGGTCACAGGAAAATTCCTTCACAGTAAGTAGCAACGATTTTCATGATCCAACAGATGTCGTCTTCACCTTTATGCCTTCTCCCTGTATTTTCCTGCAACTCTGATGGCAATCACACAACTATTTGTTTTTCTTTTAATTCACTTTCTATCTTTATTTGGCTGCTGCTTTCCATGGTTCATACTTAATTGGTTGGATTTTATTTATTTTGACCTTTCAGTAATTTTTGTTGTGGCTGAATTTGCCTGTGTCTTTCTTCACCACTTCATTTTTTGTTTTGCAGTCCCGTTACTCTGATCAACTTCTGGCCAGTAGATTCTGCGTGAGTACTTTGCTGAAGGGCGCTGCTACCACCAACACATTCGCTTGCTTGATTTTTAAATTTTTTTCTGTTTGTTTTGTTCTGTTTTGTTTAGAGACATTAATTTTCTCTCTTTCATTTCAGTTTTGTTTTCCTTCTCTTGATAAGTCTTTGAGAGAATTCTCATCTAGCACAGATCAGGAGAATCACAGTAGGGTTTGTAGGCTGTCTTACCTGGTGAAATTTGATTAGAAATCCTGGCCTGAGTTCAAATTAGAATCAAAGGAATTATGGAGGTTTTAATTGTCTTCCTGGGAGATGTGTTTATATATTTCTTCAAATATAAGCAATGAAGAGCCTCCCAATTATATAATAGCATTCTTTAGTCATATTTATTCAGGTTCATTGCCTTTGGACCTTCAAAAGGGTAAAGATTTTTTTCTTTAGGGCCTGTTATAAGTGGACTATTAAAAATCAGGATGTATTTTAGAATATGGTGCTGAGTTTAGCTGAATACTTTCAGTGAAGTGTATGGACTCTTTAGGAGGTTATACCATGCTATTTGACTAATTTTGATATATATGGTTTTTAAATTTTGGTCTAAACCAGTTTTACTCTCCTCTACAAACTAAATATGAAGCTCATAAACATTTATATGTTTACACTGGGTAAAAAGGGGACTGTAGTTTGTTATTACTACTGCTGTGTATTAATAATGAATACCAATGGATGATTGATTTATCCCAGAGTTCATGATGTTAGAAAACTCTTTGGGGCTAGGTGTGATAGTACACACCTGTAGTCTCAGCTAAATGGGAGTCTGACGTGGTAGGATGACTTGAGCCCAGGAGTTCGAAGGCTGCCTGGACAACATTCTGAGACTCCCATTTCACACAAAAAAGTTATGGAAAACTTCTTTGGTGGGGGGGGCCTGTGATTTATATATCAGCAAACAAAGTATGCCTGTTTTAGAATTATGTTATATGGGGGTTTTTAAACAAAATTGTGGTATTTTATATTTTGCTTTATGAAGCTTTTTATTTAAGTCAGATAGCTCTACTATATATGTGTATGTATGTATATCAATACAGGTATATATATGTACATATACATATGTGTATATATATGTGCATATACATATATGGGAGAAATGACTAAATTGGAAGAGGGACTAGTGTAAGAATTCAATTTATTTTTGCTGTTTTTTGTTTTTCCATTATGTAGTTTAATTTAAATTAGATTCTTAAAAAAAACAAACCCTATTGTGGTAAATGCAAACTATAATTGAGGTTTATTTTGAGTCTTTATTACCCTAAAGGAAGTACAAGCTTTCCCTTTTTAAAAATAGCATTGTTGTACTCCTTTAATTTTGAGATGTAGTAGCAATAAGTAGTAAATTGTATGATTTCTGTAATCCTCATGTTTAGCCAACTTGGGAAGTTATTTAGATTCAGTTGTGTTCCCAGCCTGTTGATGATTGTTTTCCCTAACCCAGATAGTCTGTTTATAGAAGTCAAAATATTTCATAAATACGAAACTTTAAAATTTGATATACTGAAGTCCTGAGCTTGGTTGGATCCTGAGTGAATGGGTTTAGTTTACCCTCTGTTGGAGTAAGTTTAACCAAGTATGCTGAAAAACAATTATGCAAAAACAAGTATGCAAAAAACCAAGTATGCTGAAGAACAGTTTTTTTAATGCATGGCTAATAGTAGCATAAAAATAATAAGTGAAAAGTAACTAACTGTTTCTTGAAAGGAAAGAAGAGGCTACACATAAGCTAAGGAAGGAAATGTCATGACAATCAGCTTAAAGTAATTCAAGTCAAGAATATTTGTCTTTCTTAAACTTTGAAGCACTTAAAAATTAATAACATCCTTTATTAAAGTATCTTTCTAGCAATTAAAATATATTCCCAGTTTCCTTTTTTATAAAAAGTTGGTTAGATTATTCAGAAAGTGTGGGAAGTTCTAATTTTAAGGAAGAAAACAAACCTCGCAGGCTATAGTTTGTGTCTTCTTTAATACCATAATTTTATTAAAGTCTTTACTCAGAATTGTAAATAAAATATAAAATGTACTGTAAAGCTATCCTGCTCAGACAGAAGAATCCTAACTTGTTTTATTTTGTAAAAATTGTATTTGAAGCTGGGTGCCGGTAGTTCATGCCTGTAATCCTAGCTACTCAGGAGGCAGAGATCAGGAGGATTGTGGTTCAAAGCCAGTCCTGGCAAATAGTTTGCAAGACCCTATCTCAAAAAACCCACCACAAAAAAGTTCTATTTGATGTTAACAAATCCTATGATAATAATGGTATTTTATCCATTTAATATGGATCACAGAATGGGAAAGTTTTCTGTGATACAGATCTTTTGTTCTTCATTAGACAAAACCCCTGTTTACTAGTGTTTGCCAAATTGTTTTAAAGTAAATCTAGCATAGGCTTTTTATATTGTTTTCCATGACTGAAACAGTCCAGCAGTGTTCTTTGAGCTACTATGTTTTGAAACCTACGTGAATGAAAACATTAATGGAGTTTTCATAAAAGTGAAAGTGGTGGTGGGTAAGATGGCATTGGCGGAATGAATTATTAGTGGTAATAGGAAATAATCCTTCTTCGTATATGATTTTGTATTTAGGAAGTAGAAACAGTATTACCATCTTCCTTCAGAAGTGTTTTTGAAGTCTTTGCACTTAGTTTTATTTCTGGGCTAAGTAGTATTTTTTTTATATTTACTAACTCAAGATTTCTGGTTATTATGAGTTCTTGTGCTTATGCATGCTATAATAGGTGTTACCTACATTAATAAGAAAAATAACGTGAAATGACCCTTGAGGTTAAGAATTAGCTCTGTATAAGATTTTTCTGTATAAGATTGTATTAATGTGCTCGGGATTTATATGTCTACTTTTCTTGGTGGAGTTTTGCTCTAAGGTCTTGGGTTTTCTTTCTTCTTCTATTATACTACCACAGTAACAACTATTATCATGGAAAACACTACTAATGTATTTTCCATGACGGTGGGCTTTTACTTCATAAAAATATGTAATTGAAAGACTGATCTGTTCCAAATGATAATGCTGATAAGCCAAACAATCCACGTATTAAGTTATTTTTGTCTGCAGTGAACATTTCAAAACAAACTATCTCATTTTTCTAATAAAGCAGATTGACTCTCTAAAACTATAGTGAAAAGTCACATGGAACCTTTGGATCTGCCTATTAAATTGGCTAGTCATTGTTTTTATTTCCTCATGAAATTTACACATCTTTTACAATTGACCGAGACAGTATTGGTTTCATAAATAAGAACTTTCTCTCTCAGGGAAGATTTTTGGTACCCTAGTTATTTGCTGTAGTATGTTATAATTATTTTATGATAATGTATCTTCATTAAGAAATAGGAATTTCTGCTATTGTTCCTATGTACATTTTTTTCTTTTTCTGTTTTTTAATGTAAATTAAAAGAAACATATTCCTCTTACTGTTCAGACCAAGTCTTTGAATGCTACTTGGATGTTAGGCTAAACCAGAATCCTCACTGAGTATATCACTGTTGACTTTTGGGTTCATACTTTGACCTAAGGGCTTTCTGGGTCAGGAGAGAAATGGAAGAGATCTTTTGTCCTATTCCAAATAAAACAAAAAGCACAAGTCCAAACTGGTTTTCAGAACAGATGCTTTTTCTCCCGAAGGTAATAGATCAGATAAGAAAGTATGAAAAAACTCTAGTAGCTAAGATAAGGTAGGTTTTTACTTATAAAAAGGAAATAGACTACTCATGCTAATTCTTTCCTCTTGTTTTCACATCTGTGTTTGAGATTTCAGTATTCCCAATAAGAAATATTTCTGATATTGTGACAGTCTATTGAATTTAGCCATTTTGTGACATCATAATATAATCTTAGGTCATTCTATTTTTTTCTATAAAGCACTAGTGTAGTCCTGTTGTTAAATTGGTAGATACATTCCTTCTGCAGAAAATTGTACAGGCCAAGACATTTTGATACATGGAATCTGAAGAAGTCTTGGTCTGGAGTAGCCTCTTTGAACTAAAATTACTGACAGTAAATGTACTAAGCAAATGAATACTTTCCATTCAATAAAAAGGTGGCTAATAAATGGCATAGGTGTAAATTGTTTAAAACTTTAATTCACACAATTCTAACACAATTTCAGAACTATAAGATATGAGGAATTATAAGCCAGGAGCACAAAATGCTACATAGAACTTTTCTTCCCCAACTTTTTCTATAATTGACACTTTCCAGAGAAGTTTTTGATCTCTTTATGGCTTTTGAAAAAAGCAGAAGTGTGAGAAATCATCTCTCAAATCTGGATTTAAAATACTTGATGCTTTCTAAGATACAGGAACAGCTAAGTGTACATTATCCATAGAATTAGAATAAAAGTATTCTAGGCCATGTATATAACTTAACTGTGTGATGGGGTTTTTTTCTCCAATAATGGATGGTGTCTGTGACTAATCACATTTTCTGCCTTATAGGCCTGCCTCGTCCCCTCAGCTTTCACACGATGATACTCATTCACGTATTGAACATTATGCTAGCAGGTATGAGACTAGTTGAATGCCAGGCAAATATTGATTAAAATAACTAACCAAGGAAAGCTAACCTATAGTAATTTTAAACAACTCTTTTCTTTCTTCCTCAATCTTGTCTGATTTCTACTAATCAACCTGCCCTCTAATGTGCATGCCATTCCACTGCATGTTGTTTTTGGACACCAACAAGAGCATGGGTCCAGAACAATCTTATTTAACCCTGGCCTTTAAATACTTCTGGTAGTCTTGTTATGTTTTGTATACCAAGCATTTTACTAAATTGGCTTACAAGTCATCTGGCTTCCTTAGAAAACTACTAGACTAGATATTAATCTGTGACGAAATGATACTGTATTACATGGAGAATATGAAAGCCTTGGCTTTCCATTTGTGGATTTATTTTATGTGCTATTCTGTAAAGAAGAGAATAATTAATTTTCCTAATCCTTGAACCTTTTTCTATCCTACTTTCTTTGTGTTTGAGATAATTTTTATATCTAAAACTGAATTAGTATTATAAAATATCTTGTCTTATTAAATAATCTATAAGAATTTGATTAACTTTTTTTTAGTTGTCAGAAGACGATTATTTTCTGAGGTGGAAGAGATTTTTAAAGGTAAAAATTGGTGGCAGAACATAGAAAGTTTACTGTGAATCCATCCATTACCAGTACTCTAACTGTTAGACATGGTTATCAACTGTGGAAGTTAAGTAGTTATATACATCTGTCATCAGTGAAGGCATTAATTGTCTTAAAAAGAAAAGGTGTAGTGTAAGGTATTTTGTACATTTTGTTAGGGAAGCTTTTCTTCTGAAAACAAAAAATCTTAGTGAAAGGAAGATTGATCTATGGAACAAAACAAATGAGCAACAAAATACAACTTCCCTTAGAATTTATAGCAGAAATGTAAAGCTGCTGACTAGCTGTGGTCTACCACACCCTGCTTGCTTCAAATGGTTAAGCCATCACAACACATCTTTTAATTTGAAGGACTCCTTTCTCCTCTTGCCATGATTATCTTTAGTTTTCAGGAATGTTCACTTAGGTTCTTGAATAGATTCTAAGAAATCACATAAGTTTTTAATGAGCTTTTACGTTTTTTATAGGCAGCAGAAATGGAAAACAGCAATGGATCTTATCTAAATGATAGCATCTCTCCTAATGAGAGCATGTAAGTATCCATCTCTTTTTACAAAATGTTCCTGACAATGAAATTGCTTTGAAGGGATTTTAGAGGTAGGATAGCACAGAATATAGGATTAGCATCACATTCATTTGATCTTTCAGAGCCACCATTCACTTACTTTTTTTCTTTAACTTTTTAACAGTCTGGCACGGAATGAGCTTCATCCAACTCAGGCATTATTGGTTTGCCAAAATAACAAAGAAGTTACCTTATTCTCATTTAAATTTATTTAATTGCCATATCATTACAAATTCATAGTCCTAAACACTTGTATTAAGCACTTCATCTTTGACAATACCTGCCACATATTTAAAGGCATAGGATATTATTTTAAAATATGGCTAAGTGTATTTTCTCTCTACACAATGGAGAATGGAAAATTCAATCTTGGTACAGAATTCCTATTCCCCTCTGCTAAGTTAGTTGGGCATTTTCCTTCTAAACTCCAAAGTAATAGATTTTTGTGATTTAGCATCTTCATGAGGTAACTGAAGTGAGGTAGTCTTGTGAAAGGTTTCCAGATGAGAGAGTACAAATGCAGGTCATAGTTTGTCTGTGGGAAGTTAAGCCAGCCCTATTAAACTTTAAGGACAGAGTGGTGCCAAAAGTGGCCGAGAACACAGGTGTGACAGGAAAACAGAGGCTTCATCATTCACAGAATGGAGCCCAGAAGAACATTGCCATGAACCAAGTAAGAGTGTTTGAGGTAGAGAGAATAGGTTATGAAGCAAATATGAAGAAAAATAAGGATCTACCAACTGAGCAAATATGCTGAGAGGAGAAATCTAGTCAAAGTACAATGATACTTTTAGTTTGATAAGATATGAATGTTTTACCATCTTGTCATGAGGATATAGGCAATGGGAGGAATGGTAAATTTATCCTGTGCAGTTGGTGTGGTAACCCACAGTCTTGCTCAGATGAGAGAAGGGCCTTCATAAGGATTAAGCATAAGGAAATTGTGTCAAAGTGGGATTTATGTATAACTAGGTAATAATAATCAAATCAACACTCAGTCATTTATATATGACTTAGTTATATCAAACAAACAAACAACATTTTCCCCAATCATAACACTCATACATTCTCTTTGTTAACTATGGGAAAAAAGTACTGATATTTATAATTATAAAAATTCTCTCACAGTACAGTGTATGGTCAAAGAATCACCAAATGTAAGTGCTTGAATGATTTCCTTCTTTGGCTCATTGATTTGATACTAGAGTCTCTAACACAGTCAAATTAATTCAAATTGTATCCTGTGACAGTGGCTACCATTCATGAACCGCCTAAGAGAATAGTAAAAAAAAAAAGCTTACTTACAACTATATGTTTCCAACAAAAATTAGAAATCCTAGGAGTAAAATTTCAGAGTTTGTGAAGAATAATAAATTAGATAGGTAGTAAAACCACTTTTGCTGTATTTTTAAACAAAATTTAGCTCTTGAAGACAAAATTGCATGAGGACAAACATTCATTTTCACTCAGTGTTGTACATTAAAAATTCAATGGTATTAAGGGGCAGGTTCGGGGAAGTGGTTTGATGGATTGATTTACTTCACTTAAATGATTCTTTCTAAGACCCAATAATAATAATATTTTTTTTTTTGTGGTACTGGGTATTAAACCAAGGGGCCTCACATATGTTAGGGAAGTATGGTACCACTAGCCTACACCTCCATTCTCCCATAACTATTTTTAGTTGACTTTTCACATTTCCACCAGTATCTGGCTTAATGGACTAAAATAATTTAGACCAGGAGGACATTTCTCTAATAACCTGATTTTTTTTCAACTTGAAAGTAAGTGGGTTGTGGAGTGTCAGACATGGTGATGCACATCTATAATCCCAGCATTTGGAAGGCTGGGTCAGTGAACCACAAGTTTTTGAGGGCATCATGGACTATACAATGACCCCACGTCTCAAAAAAATTAAGTGAAGTATGAGAAAGGAATATGAAAGTATTGTCTGATATCTAACCAGAGTCACCTCTCATTAAGAACAGAATGAAGTTCTTATAACTTGGAAAGTAAACAGACTTTCAGGAGCTTAAGGCAGTGCATTCTGAAAATAGTTTCTCCTGGGTGAAAAAAGTTCCTAGTCTCCAGGAAAGATTGCAGCTGCCTCCCAAAATATGCTATTTTGCTTCCTTTTTCCTCAAGATTGGTATTTATGAACTGCTCTGAGGAACGGTTTATTCTGTCTTTTAATCAGTCACCATAATTACTTTTTTCCCTCAATTTTTGTTTCATATCTAAACAGTAATTGAATGAAATAATCACTTATCTAAGTTTAATTATTGTTACCATCCCTCCTTCATGTCTTTTATAAGTAAAAATTTGTTGAGGAAGCTACACTTTTTGGCTACATTGCCTTCAACTTGAGAAAATATTTACTCTTAGTATTTTAAGTGTTTTTCCTAATCATTATCAACAATAGCATGGATTATCATGTCTTAAATATTAGTGACTATTGGTTAACCTGTCAAACATAGAGTCCCAGTATTTTGCAATTCTAACTTTTCATTGATCCATGTAAATAGGCCAATCCAAATTTCAATCTGAAAATTTGAGCAAGAAACACTTTGAATTGTCATCAATAGAGTGGTAGAGAACAATCTCAGCAGCAGTATCCTAAATGTCTTTAGAAGCAGTAAAAAAAAAAAAAGGTCTAATTAACTGTTAAAAGCAAATAAATGTTTCTATTTTCAAATAGACACCCAAGTCCCTGACCCCAAAGCCAAATAAGGGGGGGGGGCAAAAACCAAAACCTTTGATTTTAATTTTCCAGAGATGATGAACATTTGTTAATCCAGCATTACTGCCAAAGTTTTGAACCAGGACTCCCCCTGAGCCAGCCTCGTAGTCCTGCCAGATCTTGATTTCCTTAGAGAGTGAGGAAAGAGGGGAGCTAGAGAGAATCCTAGCAGATCTTGAGGAAGAAAACAGGTGAGTTTTCTTTCTAGCTTTGTCATTGGTAAGCAGAACACATACACTTGCACACACAGAAAAGTGCCAGGACTCTTCACTTAGTCATTCTGTGTCTAATTGCTTGCTAAAATAATCTGTTTAGCTGCTTTTGCAGATTCCTCTTTTTTTTGTTATCTGAAAGAAGAAAATGAATGCAATAGTATGATTAAGAACTCCTATTTTAAGCATGAAGGGATTAATGCTGACTGGGGTATTTGATTTGTTGCATGTGTTTTTGGAAGGCTCTGATTTTTATTTGAGACTAAACTTAAGAAAAAACCAGGTCATTTATTTTTATGATATATAATTTTTATATGTATTTGGCCAATAGTACTCAAATAGTTAAGGAGGTATGGTTCATTGGCTTGTTCATATTTTGGAACAAATTATTTCAATCTTGTCAAATGATCACAATCATAGAGGATTAGGAAGACAATTTCAATTGTTAGCCTCACCTGTAAAAGAATGTTCACAGAAATTGTAGAAGAGGAAAAAGGCTAAAAAGAATTCACAGTGACCACAGAGAAGGACCAAGTTGTAAAAATCTGGAGTATTGTGTGGTGTCAGGACAATGCAGATCATTGGACTTTTACTTTTGTATTAACTTCATTATATCACAGGTCCCTTGGTTAAGAAAAAGCTTTGCGCATATTCACTTTTCATAGTGTGCCGTCTTCAAATAAATGCCACAAGACAAGTCTTTAAAAAGGAGAAATTGCTCAAATTTGTTGTACTTAAGGTACTTTCATCTCTTTGGTTTAGCCCAAGGCACCAAGACTTCTTAAGGCAATTCTGTGTCTGAGAAACCAGTGCCCTCAGGGAGAATGTCACCTGAAGATGAACAAACTGCATTTATCCAGTCCCTTCTGCTGCCACTACCTTCCTTCTAGCCTCTTAATGACCTCCTGAGCCTTCTGGCGATAGCATCTTATCTGGTTGGCTTCCCTTCAGTTTCCCTTCCTTACCCACTCTAATAAATCCTCCATACTGACTCTAGTTGTACATCCTTTTTCCAGTACTAAGACCCATAGATGACATTCTCCTTTATTGGATTTCCTACATCTTACAAAAAA